TATATATATTTTTCAAAATTATTATTCTTATTACTACCCATTTAATAAAAAATACAAAGCTGATTGTACTGCAAACTGATTGTGATATGAAATTTACGTCAAGCTCTAAGGCATAATGATAATATTACTAAATTTTACCATGTTTTCCAAATGTCATTGCACATTGTAAAATCATATTTTATTATCAATTTTACACAAATCATTGTCATAGTGCTATTGTGAAAATTACTTAGATTTTTGATGTTCCTATGCAGCCGGCAGCACGGTAAATTTCACCATATTCTAACAGCTTTAACCATTTTTTCCTCAGTGTGTACATCAATAGAAGCTTTTGTTACTTTGCAGCGTACCCATTTTAGAATGTATTAAATGATTTACTCTATTTTTCATCTGTCTACAATAATGCAGTTTAGATACTATTTTCGTATGAGTATATAAAAAACTCATTGTAAAAACGATTTAATAATATATAAATAAAAATAGTTTTTAATTTTATTGTAAAATATTTATTAATTAACGCATAACTATTTCAACTGAAAATACTCCATTGAACCACTGTATATTTGTTAATTATGATTGCCCTATTTGTTCGTAAAAATAAGTAATATCTATCAAAGACGTGCGATGAGTTTATAAACAGAATAAGACTAAACATAATAAGCAAAAATATAAAGCGTACAATATTCCGCTAGGATTTAAAGGGTTTATATACTGTTATTTTTTTAAAAAAAGAACCAGATAATACTCTAAATTGTAATGAATTCTCTCAAAATATCTAATAAATCAAATAAAATGTGGAGTTTAAGGCTACAAAATCAGATAGCATTAGAGCCGCTTTCCCGATTAATCTGAATTGATAGGAATAACTTGATAAGGATTAAAAATATGCGTCGAAATGTATATCGGTGATGCATTTCGATAATAAAATTAAATAATAAGTACATTCTATTAAAATATCATATTAATTGAATGTAAGGCGTATTTACACAAGGTTAAGATAGGACATGCTGTGTCAAGCATACGGTTTTAGAAGCACTTAAATTGTAAAATAAAATATATTTTTAAAATCAATAAAAGAGGCGAAAACTCTAAAACAGAGATAAATGTAAATGCATACATATATTATTTAAACATGATCAAAATCATTACCACAATAAATTAGCTGTAGACAATTTAGAATACCAATAACGCGTAGAAACGAAAATATGTTAGGATACATTTTATTATGTTGTCCAGTCGCTTCACTTTTTCGCTTCAAGCAAGGGGTTGAGGAAAAATTTAATTATTTATTAAATTTGCTCACCTTCATTTGTTGAAAGGTATTCTAGAGTACTTGAGCGAACTGTGACAGGTTTGCTCCTGCCTTTGCTGTTTACGGAATAAACAACAAAAATAAAAGATTCTTTGGCGGGTAAGGAACACACATTAAAGTTCGGTGAGCTTCGGGATGTGAGATTCGCAATGAACTTATTAGAGTTTATGTTCATTACTTCCAATTGAAATACTTGTTGTAATCCACCATCTTCACCCCTATCACAGTCAACAACAATGCAATCTGATGTTCTGTTTGTCACCAGGCAGTTTCTTGGCTCATCTGGCACACCTGTGATTAAAATTAAATATATGGGGTTTACTGATGAAAATGTAAACGTGAAGTAAAGTTATATAAAAAAACATTCTTTCAACAGATGCTTCAGAGCTAAGGGTTAAATGAAGGACAAAACGCAAAAATTTCTAAACTAACAACATAATTGTGACAATGTGGTCAGCATTGTGCAGAAACCGCATTTACTTCAAAGACGAGTTGACACACATCGATCTGAAGCTGAGTAGGCTTCAAGCCATAATGTCGAAGTCTAGATCCTAAGAATGCGGTTTACCACGGAGCCAAGACGTGTAGGACTACCGTTAATTAAAATTTCATGAGTTGTTAAATACAGATCTTTCTTTATGAAAAATAAATGATGTGAGTCAAAGAGAGCTGTTCCATGACTACATATAAAAACGAATGATATTGAGAATTTTAAGCGGATAATTTTAACAACATTCACTTTATAGTCCTATAATATTTTTGTACAAATTTCTTATAAATAAAAACATTATTTTTTTTAGTATTGCAATACTTTATTTAGTCAGTAACTGAAAGGTTTTTGTAATAATATGATTTAAATCCGTAAATAAAAAGTTTTAATGAATATTTCAGAAAGACAAACCAATTTACAGTTTCAATTGTAAATATTTAGATATAATTAATATTTTTTCATCCTCAAACGTTACGAATGTTAGTGTTTGCTTTTTAGAAAATCATTTATAAGGTTTTTAAAGTTAAAATTGGGCACTAACACTTTTCGTAAAACCTTTTCGTTTTTCTTCAAAAATGCGGAAAAATGGGCAATTTTTAAGTAAAACATAAATTATTTTCAATTTTTTTTTAAAGAAAAATATTAAAATAAATTTTTTTTTAGAAAAAATATAAATAAATCAATGTTTAAAATATTAATAAAAATAAATAATCCAGTCACGACATGCAAACCTGGTACCTTCGAGGGTATTACAGCTGGTACAATCCAACAGATTAGATTCGTCACAAAAAAAAAAGAATTTCTTGATTGAAAAGTAATGATTTTTAGAAAAATAATATAATTAATAAAAGGAAAACAATATATCATAACATAAAATTACGACCTGAATCAATTATACACCGTCAAGGTAAATGCTATTCCGTAGATTTTAGTGAGATGAGAACGAAACAATTTGTGGTCGATAGAATGATGTTCACTTTAAGGAAACTTTCTGTACAGAAAAGCTTATCTCACTAAATTTTTCCTCGGAGCATCTTTTTTTTATTTAAAAGAAGGAGAAACTAGAATAAGTTATAGAATTACAATACCATGTTCTATTTTACCTGCAGGTATAATGCGAAAAGAGCAGGGCTCTTTCTGAGGCCCTACATTGTTGGAAGCCCAGCATTGTAGTACACCGTAGTCCTCAGGAGCTCTTGGAGACACAGTTGCAATGCTTTTAGTGCCGTTACTTGTATAAAAAGCAGCTGGTAAAGGTGAACTTTTATCGGGATTGCTGAGAATCCAAGAAAAGTTAACTTTAGTTGGATTTGCATCTACAGCGCATGTAACACTAACTGATTCTGTTCTTCCAACACCGTAGACACTACTTCTTACAGATTCACAACGAGGTGCATCTAATAAAAAAATAGAATTTCTTATTAAAATTCCAATTATGAAACCTTTAGATTGTTAAATTTAGGGCTCAGAAAGAAATTCAAAGCTTTACACATAGACAATATACATTGATACATTTATAAGACCTTAATACTTGCGAAAAAATAACTTAAAAAATACATGATGAATCATCACTACAAATAGGTTGATTTATTTTGATGAAGGACTGAAGATATAATAAAATATTTTTTTCCAGCATAATATTTCTTAACGATACCCGATCACTCCTCAAAAAATACTTTTCAAACAAGTATGCAATTGAAGAGAATATTCCGATAAATTAAATATTTATAATTAAACAGTTTTCTACAAGCATTTCTTTGAAATGTTCTATAGACTGTTTTTTTTTAATATAAATTGCTCTTTTTTGGTATATTGCTACTTCTTTGATTAAACATAAATAAATACTTAACCACGTTTGCAGGCATTTACCAATTGTAAATTAAAAAGTAATAATCTACATAATCTATAAATAATTGTAAAATATTTCGTATTTTAATAATTTCATTGATATAGGAACCAAAATAAAAAAAGGATATTAGCATTAACTATTTCCCTTAAACTAAACGTAATATATATTTCAAGAATTAGAAGTCCACAAATTGAAAAAAATATTAGCACTAATCTTTTTAAAAATCAGTATTTCTTTTACTAGGTTTTTTTTCTATCTGAAAAACTCTTTGTAAAACTTTTATTTTTATTTTCAAGCAGTTTATTTTTAAAGCTAGTCTCAGAAGATGAAAAATATCGCAGGAAGTATAACTCTTTTAAAAAGTAACTAAATAAATCAACAAAAATAAAGCGCAATGCAACATCTTCTATACTTCATGAAAGAGTTTCAGTAAAGCTAAATTTAATCCCCCTTTCATATATCAACGGGAAATTCATTTCCAAATATACACTTTAAAAATAGATTTTAATATCCAGTAGTTTTATTCTTTTTTAGATGAATCTAAGTAAAAATTAAATTATAGAAGTTAACTTCAAGCTAAAATTTTTTTGTTAACAATATATAATTTATTAATTAATTACATATCACAACTACTTATATTTAAAAAAATATAGTATATAAACAACGAAATATTTTATTTCCATTCTTTTGTATTAGATGAATCTATCAAATAATGTACTTTTTTGATAGCTTAGTCGAACTGCAAAATCCTTTATCGAACAAAAAAGAAAGATTTTTATATACTATAGATTTTATCGAAAATATTTTTATTAAAATGGCACTAATATAGTTTATTTAAATGCTGCCTTCTATCCTTGATGATATGGTATTTAACCAAGCCGATAACGAATTCAGCTGCAGCGCCATTTCTAATTGATAATAGCTTGTAGCGTATTATTATATATTCAGTAATATATTACGTGTTCCAACTCTTAACTATAAATTTTAATGTTGAATTTGACTAATAGTTCCCATACCATCAGCTAGAACACACTCTTAATATAACAGTTTTAGAGCTTTTTGTAAAGTTTTTATAAATTGTATATACTTACAAAAGATATCAAGATGAATCGGTTCACTCATTGATCTTCCTTCGCTATTTGTACCCGCACATTGATATACTCCTTTGTTCTCTGGCCCGACTGACGGAATTTGAAAAATCCTATTTGAAAAATTCGCTTTTGCTGGAGGCCCTAATGATCGCCCATCAATTAACCATTCAAGTTCTGTTATAGGTGGGTGTGCTTGCACATCACATGTCATGGCTACGGAATCTTTTTCAGTTACTGGTAATGGAACATTTATTTTCACAGTCAATTGGGGTAGATCTGAGGAAAGAAATTGATTAAGCATTTCTTTCACGAAATAAAGAATTTGCTTTAGTGTTTAGTATATCAATAATACTGTTTGGTAATTACAAATGAGTGTATAATATTGTATAGTATTAATATTCTATCATGCCTATATTTTTTTATTGAAATCGGTAAAACAGAACAGGCATATTTTGAAGGTTACAGATTTTGAATGCTTATCCACAATTGTAATGAGCTTTTTCTTTCAAAAAATACCCGAATTGAATTATTTTAATTAAAGCATAAATTGGATACGTGTCAAATGGATCCATATTCTGGTATAGATTTACTTATGGCACTGTGTTAGAATGTTGGACGCTTAACAGGAATCTTAACTATATACTAGGAGGTTTCGCCCCTGCTCGCCAGCGCTCGCCGACCCCCGGAACTGCTTTCGCAGTTCATTTCGGATTGCTTCGCAATCCGATGCTCGCTTTTCTCGCTCATTGGATGCGTTCTTAACGTCTAGCTTTTGTATACTTTTTTGAACACTGAAGTTCCGAAAACTCTTCACTGTAGAAGACTCTAAACCTGTGCATTTTAATATTAATTTGAAATTGCAAACAGTTCACATATTTTTCTTAATCACACTATTCTAAATTTCAGTTGTTGAGAAAAGTAACAGTTGGAAGTTCTGTTTTAAAGTATTTCCCACCGGAGGGCTAAAACCATGTGTTGTAAAACAATATGAAATAGTACTGAACGCCGAGATGTAAAGCATTGGCTTCGATAAAGATAATTATGTGAGAATTTTTTTGATAATTCGGTGAGAATTCACCCGATTAGACATATGATGCTCACTACGTGCTCTTGCGCGCCGAAGCCTATAATTAAAACGTATTAGCGTTTTATATAATGTAGATTAGCCAGATGATGAAGATAGATTGCTGGTTCGTTTAGCATAAGATGTGGAACAGTAATATTCCAATTGTAGGGAAATCAAAGTTTATAACTTTTCTAAAGGTGAATTGAATTCTTCTTTTCAAGTCACATGAAGTAAAAATATGTTTCGTAGATAGATGGAATAAGCAACTCAGTGAATGGGAACCGCTTGTCCTTTAAAAATTTATATTATCTTAAAATTGTAATTTTGGGTAAATGACAGCGTTAGCATATTAGTTATTAAATGCGAATCTTGTAAAATAGTTGTGGAAACTTCTATAATTTTGTTTTAATCTTTTTAAGATTCAAAAAATATGTGTTAATTAACTAAGTAAAAAAGCAGGTCTTACCAGAGAATGAACACAAAATATTTCAGTAAATGAACAGTTAAATTTAATCTTGGAAAGTTTTAAGGCAAAAATGTACGTATAAGTCATACAAATACCTAAAAACAAATTTTTTTCCTTGAATTATAACATATAACTGTAAATGTTTTCGAAAGTTTTACATTTTTTCTCAGTTATGAAATGGAAAATAAAATTGATTTGAATTGGAAATTTAAAAAAAAATTTTTTCTTTTCTTTTTGTAATTTGTTAATCGTGTCTGAGTTATGAATGATAATCCTTGGGTCATCCGTTGATGTTTTTCCCTTTTTGCTTTACTACTTTCATGTTTACTCTATCCGCTTAGTTCTTAAAATCTTTTTTTTAACTTTTTTTTAAAATACTTTTTTGATTTCCTCGTATACTTCATTTTTTAACTCTCTTTTAGTTCTTTCAACTTTTTTCTGAAATTAATGCAAAATGATTTCCCCCCTTTTTCTTCCGATTTGGACCTCTCTATTTTTCTCCAATATCTGATCAATGCAGATGGTCATTCAAATTTCTTTTTGTTTTCCCCTTAAATTTCCATATTTCTTTATTTGAAAACACGCAAGTGAAAAGGGTTCCGAAGTTTGAGGAAAAATTCCTATCTCGTTGACCTATATCTAGTTACTCTTCAACTGTACTTATTATTTTCTAACTTTGAATATTTATACAATCCTTTGTTTCTTCAAATAATAATGCATCAATCAAAATCAATAAAGATAAATCCATTATCAATGTTAATTGCAACTTCAGTGCAAAAATTTGATTTAACCGATAGTTTTTTTTTAATCCTTTATGATACATACTTCTGCCATATTGAAAAAAAACGCTGTTTCCTGGTTGTTTGAAATGTTAGACTCTTCAGTCAATGTTGTGTTAAAAATTTGCAACATATCCGAAAGGATTTCACTTGTATTGTAAATGTCTGACAAGTTTATGGATCGTTACTCTTTGACTGGGAGTATACTTTTTGTTCATGACCTTCATAGCTCATAAACATTTCTTCTTCAGTAGATGATAACACTAGTAACAGCCCCATACATTTGCTTTGTTTGTTATCCCTGGTATATTTGGTGGCAGTGCTACTTTTGGAATTTTGAACAGGCTTATTCGCAAATGAGATTGCTGGTGACAGCTTCAGTGTATAAGAACTTAAATGTGATTTAACTGTTTTTTTTTCTGTTTTTAATGCATACTTCTTTCATATTAAAATAAACAGGTATTTTTATAGTTAATATTTTAGAAACATCAGACAATGTTGTGTTTAAAAGGTTCATTATGTCAGGAAGGATTTCAGTCTCAAGTGTCTGAAGAAATTCTAAATTCTTACTCTTTAACTCGGTGTATACTTTTTGTTTCTGAGCTTCTTTTGCTCATTAACATTTTTTCTTCTGTAAATAACAGTGATAGTAATAGTCCCATACACCTACCTCCATTAGATATCATTCATAATTGTGTTGACAGAGTTGCTTTCGGAATATAGAACTGACTGCCTTGTTCCAACTGAGTTGTTTTAACCTCACAGGCTCTAAAGCATTATCAAGGACAAATGCTCGCATTATACTTTTGTCAAAGAAGCAAGGAGCTATAATGAAGGCCAGAGAAAGCCATGTGACCAGATGCAATGCAGTGCTTGATGCCAATTAATCCAAAGATAAACTTTTAAAATCTTACTTTTTAAAACAAAATATACATTTTTGAAATGTTATTCATTGGGGTGTATTCTATTAGTAGTTGATCTACCCTACATTTTTACAAATTGCTTTTTCAATAAAATACCAATATATTTTGACGAATTGAATTTAGGGTTTAGTGACACAAGGTACAAAAAAGGCATGCTGTGTCAAATACATGCTTTAAAAACAATTAATTTTGCAAATGCCACAAGTGGGACAAAAGAAAAAATTGCTCTCATGCTTAATACTTGTGCTCGTAATGCATGCTCAAAATGTCTTTCTATTTCTGCAGTTTGGATACTAGCGAACTAAGTTTGCCAGATTTTATTTTAAGTCATTCAATGTACCTCGAAGTTCATTTTTTTTTCTGATATCAGAGTTCATGGTTGAATAATGTACGATGGTGAGAAATTACATAGATATATATGAATAAAATCAGTAAATTATTTTCAAGCTTTATTTTAAGAAAAATATTAATATATTTATGAATACTTACAGTGCACATTTATGAGCCACGTGTCTTCTATCACACTATCAGTAAGCTGTGGGTTGTCTCCTCGGCAGGAGAGATTTCTGTGATTGTCTTGAATAGTAGGTCTTAAATTTAAGCTACTGATTGTCAAGTTATCTTCTTCAGCTGTGCTTTCTGTCACAGTTGTAGTCAGTTTTTCACCGTCAAGCCACCAAGATATTTGAGCAGGTGGACGAGCACCTCTGGCAACACAAACTATATCCGTGTCTTTCCCAGCTGATAATGGTTGGTAAGGACTTGTAATTCGAACATCTGTTGGTCTTACTAAAGAAATTAAAAACAATATTTTATTAATTTTTTATCTATATATATGAATAAATTTAAAACTGATAAGTTAAAAGTTAAGAACCATTTCCTAAGGATGGAAAAGATATTGAATTAGATTGAATAGGCAAATAAATAGCACGAGAACTAGCATTGGACGTATTGATTAAAAGCATAAGTGATATTGCAAGCTGTAACTTTTCTTTAAAGAAATTCTGTAACAAAATTACTAATTGAAGTGGAAAATTTATTAGTTTTGTATCTTCCGAATGCAAGTAGAAAAATATGGCTATATCGTGCGATATTAAAATATTTGGTTCCCTTTTTTTAAAGTACCCAGCGTCTTTAACAAGGATAATTAAAAACGCCTGAGGTATTGCCTGCTTGAAGACTTTATCTTCACGAAATGAAATAGTAGTCGAGATGTCTTCCGCTCATCAAAAATAGACGCCTATTTCAAGACTTTCATTTTCAAGAAGATTTCTTCAAAAATTACTTTTAAACATTTGAAATTCAGTGAAAAACCTTTTTAACGTTTGAAAATCAGTGAAAAACTACTTTTAAAATTTTTTATTGTTGCTAAAAATAATTGCAATCTGAACTAAATATCTAAAATACTTTAATAAATGATACTGTGGGGTAAATATATATGGGCTAAAACAGTAATTGAACTTTAAAATATATACTGTCAGAAATATTGAGCAGTGAAGTAAAAAAAGAAAAATAATAAAGCAGAACAAAAATAACAAAAATAAATTAAACATAAAATCGATTAATTACTTATTTGGTTGTATTTTACATTTTCCTCATAAGATCATAATAAGCATACACAGTTTTAAAATTTGATTGATATTTTAAACCTAATTTATATTAATAGTCCTACTTACAACAATTTATTCTTGCTAATACAAATAAGCTGACCGAATATTTCAGTAATAGTAGCGAAAAATACATAAGGAAAAAAATACAAACCGAAAGTGACATCCTCGTGCTATGCTTTAAAATTACTTTTATTTAAATCATCATAGCTTAAGTACTATGAATTAAAAAACAGAAAATTCTTACTGCATTTTAAAGCTAAAAAACGACAAACCTACGATCTTGCAGAGCTGAAATGCGAGAAATTAAATTAAAAATCACGTAAACAAGTAAGACCAAATCTAATGTTCCCAAATAAAATTTAAATAAAATGAAATGAAATGGAATATAGGAATTAAATTGAGGAGTACTGAAATTTTACATTATAATCTAATATATGTAATTCTCTTACGTGGCTCCCAAATTTTGGCTGTATTTCTTTTCCGCCGGTGGCAACGTTTGCTTTGCTTTGTTTACGTTTTGAAAACACCAAAGCATTCTGCCTTTTAATGATGTGTTTCTGATCTAATATATATAATTCTCTTACGTGGCTCCCAAATTTTGGCTGAAGTACTTTGTACAACTAAATAAGATTCTTTTCACAACACTTAAATGTTTACTTTATTTTCTTCATTTATACAGAGAACAGTCGGCAAAGAATTCTGTTAGGTTAAAAAACATTTCGCTAAAAAAATAACGAATTCTAAAAGAAATAAAAATAAACAACTTAAAAAATAAAAATGCTGTTGCCAGCCATAGAATTTTTTGAAAGTTAACTTAGCAACATAAATCAAAATGACATAGAAGCGCAACTAGATCAAAATTATGATACCTGAGCGCTTGACGTAACAAATCCTTCAATTCTAAAAGTGTTGTATCGCCAAATGCCCAAATTAACAATTGTGTTCTTAAAGAAATTCTATAAAAAGTTTTAAATAAACAACCTACTTCTACAACTGCTTCTTGAAGAACTTGGCTCATTGATTAAAAATATTGTTTTAATTTTACAGTACTAACTTTACTTCTACTTTCATTATTGCTATGACCCTCTTTCATTACATTTTACAACTTCATGCTAAATTTGAGGACTTTAAGTTGTTTTGTGGTTGAATACTGACATTTAGAAATGTGTACATAAAAAAAATAATATTTAGAGGTTAAGAGTTGCCTCAGAAAAATTTGAATTGTTGACATTGAACTTAACAATGGAAACAATCGTTTTTGTGAAAAATTGAATTGTATTGTTGACATCAAAACTAAAAATATTGTGTTTCAACTTAACAATACTACCTTAATTTATACTTTAGAATTGCCTCGGAGAAATTTGAATTGTTAGCAATGACTTAAACAAAAAGTTTTATTTTAACTGACAAATACTATATTATAATTTTAACTTTTTCTATGACTATACTCATTTTCTTACTCTTTTCTTTGTTTTTTATACATTTTATATTTTTGTGATAAAATAAAAAACTTATAGTTGTTCTGCTTCTGAACACTGATGAAAACACAAAATGATGGGCTTCATCAACAATCAAAAATATATACATTTATTTTACAAATTCCATATTATTAAGGTGGCGCCCTTCAGAGAATTAAAAATACAAAATTATCTTCATCAAAGCCGATGCTTTACATCCGGCGTTCAGTGGCAGACTACTATTTCATATTGTTTTACAACACATGGCTTTAGCCCTCTGGTGGGAAAGACTTTAAAACAAAACTTACAACAGTTACTTTTCTCAACAACTGGAATTTAGAATAGTGTGATTAAGAAAAATATGTGAACTGTTTGCAATTTCAAATTAATATTGAAATGTACAGGTTTAGAATTTTCTACAGTGAAAAGTTTTCGGAACTTCAGTATTAAAAAAAGTGAACAAAAGCTAGACGTTAAGAACGTATCCAATGAGCGAGCAAAGCGAGCATTGGATTGCGTAGCAATCCGAAATGAACCGCGAAAGCAGTTCCGGGGTTGGCGAGCGCTAGCGAGCAGGGGGCGAAGCCTCCTAGTTTTATCTATTATTTCCAAAATAGAATATCTATGTATAATTTATTTGAAGTCTTGAAATAAAATTATCTAAAACTCTTTTGTAATTAACATAACACAGTAAAATAAGGATTGTATTTTTTCTGACTCAAATAATCCATTTTACTTATCAGCCAAGAAAAACGTAAGTGCAAAAATTCTTTTCGGAGATATATTTTTTGTGTTGTTTGATTTATATTAAGAAATAAAATAGTAAAAAAAAGTTTACATTCCTCCAAGTCTTATGTTTTTGTAACCATTTTTTTCCATCTTTTTTTTCTAAGAAAACAAGAGCATGCCGATAAAAAAATATGCAAGATACAGTTTGATGCAAAAACTGGACTAAAAAATTTAATCAATCTTTTCTAAAATTTCTTCGTAATATTCATTTATTCTTCAGTATATTTCTATGTAAGAAATTACTGCTAGTATTTTTTTAAAATCATACACTGAAAATATTTTTTTTTAGAAGAGGTTTCTAAAATGCATCATCATTGAGTTGAACTTAAAAGAATTAACGTTTTTAAATAATTTTAAAATATATATTCTGAATGCATATACATCCTGTCTACTATTAAAATGCCATCAAATGGAATGTTTTTTATAATATTTTTTTCATACCTTAAGCAATAAAAGGCGTCAATTACATTATTATAATTTTAAAGTTTTAGGAAAGATTTCAGTATTGAATAGTGTTAAATAGTCTAAATTCGAAATGGGAAGCGACTGCAAAATATAACTACTGTATTTAATTTACTTTATACAATCCCGTATTTGTGCCTCTGAAATACCGATTTTCAAATTTATATTACTATTATTTTGCCATTTTTTTAAAATTATCTCCTACGAGCTTACATATTTAAATATTTGAGCGTGCAATATTGGCTACCACGCATTAAAGGTGCATGGCATTAAAGCATAAAAATGAAATTAAAAAAAAACAGCACCTAGCTTAATTAAAAAATGTAGCAAAACTGAAAACATAAAATAACTAATGACTACATTAAACATAAAGAGAAGAGGATTAATGACAGATATAATTTCAATCAATTTTTAGATTTATTGACCGATTAGAACTGATTTTATCGGTCAATAAACTCTTAGTACATATTTTCTGTACTTATTTAAGACTCAACTAACAGTATTAATTATTCATTATCGCCAAACATTATGTGCCAAATTTAAGTGGAAAAATCCCAGTCATTAATGTTTAATACTTCACTAAACTGAGCGACTTAAAATTTTAACGCTTCTAAAATTTATCAATATTTTATTTTTAAACAAGATTATATTTTAAATTATTATATAATCTAATACACTGACAATGGCATTGATTTAATTAATATTTAATACCCTATGGCTGCAAAAATTAGTGATCATTTTATGCCCGTTTAAAATTGGTATTTCTCCTTTCCTAACAATTAAAAATTTCTCATTTTTCTCCACATGAACCAGTAAAAAGAATGTTTACGGATTATAACCGGTTTTGGTTTCCGATTTTCCTTATATTTAGTCCTCTAAAATAATATTTTCTTACTCTTTCTGACTTCAAAGCGTAATTATTTTACAATGTGTACGATCATCTTTTAACTGCTAAGTTTGATCTTAATTCTGATTATAAATTTTTTAATTTCTGTTTTTAATAAAACACTCTTAAACTTCACGTTTTACCAAAAATGGTTTTGATTCATTAAATAAAGATATTGTGGAGTGTTTTTTAAGCTATTTCGGTTGGTAATTTTTATGAGAAATGGGTAATTCGTAATCAGAGTGAATCAAATTAAAAATGTATTTTTTATTGAACAAACAAATATAATTTATTCCATTTCCTTTTTCGTATTGTCTTAAATATACACTATCATAATGATAAATCAATAAAAAGTTTAAACACTTTTATACTTACAGTTCATATCTAAGCTAACAGTGCTAGTGACTGGTGATGTTAAGTTGTTGTTGTACACTTCACATGTTAGATTTGTCAACAAATCTTTTCGGTGAAGATTTGGTAGTTGGACTTCATTTCTTGCAAATCCTTGAGGAGTTAGAAAAAATGTGTCATCGATAAGCTCATTACCTTTAAGCCACCTTACTGATGGTGAAGGCTCACCTGAAAATGAAATTATTATAAAAATTTAAAGGTCAATTTGGAATTTTAGTTCATAAAAATATGGCTTTCAGCCACTTTACTGGTAGTGAATGATCACCTGGAAATGCAGTATTATTAAAATTTAAGCATTAGAATTTTAGTTTATAGGAATATGCATTTCAACTACCCTAATCTATTTCTAGGTGAACGATTACCTTAAAAATTTAAAATTGCATTTAGGATTTTATAAAAATATAAATATAAGGGAGTGAGACCAAAAGAAGTAAGAGTTTATTATGAATTTTGGTGTTTTTTGCAATTCAACTGGTACAGGAAAAATGATTTTTTTAAGTAAACTTAATTTTGAGGTACTGTCTTGCATGATTTGGAAATCATAAAATAATTGGAAATACTAATTTTATGCTTAGAAGGAAGAAGTTTAGGTAATAAATAAATTTTATGATGGATATATTTTCTGTTATATCCAAATAATGTTTAAGTAGAGATATCACATCTTTATTTGTGATAAACAAACATTATTTATCGTTATTATAATGTCTTTGAAAACCCAAACTAACAAATAGTTAAATAATTATAAATTAAAACAGGCTTGGTATTCAGGAGGTTAATTTTTTTAAACTTCACAAAATGTTTAAAAAAAACTAATGGATTTCTTATCACTGCTAATATTTGTGTTATGTGAAGTGAATTGTTACAGAACATGGAAATAAAAACTGGAGTAATAGAATAAAATAAAGTAGCAAAATTATACACATACAGCATTAAAAGTATGATAATTTACACAATAAATAAAATAATATATACACTTTTTTGAAATTTGTGATATTTTATATATTCATGAGTATTTCGAAATTTAATTAATACTTAATTTCTGACGGCATATTTTCACAAGTAACTTATTTTCCAACAAATCTTTGTCGTTTATACAAAATTTCGCTCTTGAAATTCAAAATTTGTGCAAAGGAGAGTTTTTTTATTAAAATGAAAATAATCTGTATAGAATATGCATAAGCCAAATATATCATTATAGAGAAAAACTCTAGCTCGAAATAGAGCCTTTTTTATTTCCAAAATCAGATTTTTATCAGAAATTCAAATGAATTTCCTTACTATTTCAATTCTTACAAAGAGATTTTCTATTCAAGAATAACTGCAATGGAATCTCAAAAGACAAATTATTCTCAGGCGTAACAGCTGATGGAATAATTGTACACAGTTGGGAACTGAAATATTACGCCATTACGCACAGAAGTATAATTAGAAGTTTGATGGTAAGTTTTAGATTTGAAATAAATCAAGTGTTATTCTGAATCCCAGAAATATTTTTCACCATTTTGATTTAAATTGGATTACTCCAGAATAAATGTTCTAGTTAAATTAGTTTATTAAAGCTGAACATTACATTTTATCAGCTAATGCAGATACAATAATTTTTAATGCGATAGTAAAATCAAGTAATTTGAAATATTCAAAGTGTAATAAATCTTACTCAAATATAAATTAAAATGATCTATCTATCTATCTATATCTATATCTATATCTATATCTATATCTATATATATATATATCTATATNCCTGCTCCTGAAGGCAACCGGCTTCGGATGGCACGTGCCGTGGAGAAAGGGTCTCGAATAGTCAACTGGCGAATACGCCGGTCTGTGCGCTCTGACGTGCACCTGTGCGCACCACTTCCTCTTCGGCGTGCACGTAGACCTTCCTGAATCCATCGTGTGACACAACGTTGGATGGTACTCACGTTGTGCCCAACACGAGTTGCTATTGCGCGCAGCGACGAACCAAGTTCATGGAGTTCGATAATACGGTCAGGTTCCCCGGTCGTTAACTAATGGTATTGAGCTCGCCGACTTCTCAGAGGCATTTTCTACGCTTTTTCGAAAGTCGCAAATGCTACGCAAAGCTTCAGATGCCGTTTATGAGAAGTGAAAGTTGCTGGCCTTTATAGCCTGAATATGCGTACCACGTGATCAGATGCGTGCGTAAATTTAATCATTTGCATATCCATCTCACTACTATCGCTCCTGAAATTTGCATGACGCTACGTGCATTATTTCTCGGTGTTGCAATTTCAGTTTTGAGGAGTGTATATATATATATATAATTTCCAGAAAAGAACAGAAAATGATTATCATCGATTTCTAAAAATTAATTTCAATTTAATTGAGGACCTGTCTCGTTTAAACATTCTTAAACTTAATTCAACATAGTTTTTTATCTTAATTTTAATAAAGAAAGAATTTAACTTTGTGCAAATATTTTCGCATTTAATTTTAAAATATCCTTACATTTAATATTAATTAAATCAAAGATACATTTTAAGCATAAAAATAGATTCTCAAACAAATGAATAAAAGCTGGAAGCAGAAATATCACAATTTACTAATTTTAATCCAGCAATTAAATTAATAAAATTCTTTAAATTGAGAGCGGATTACTAATTTATCTTTAAAGTTTAAAACGTGATGTTTTATTTTTAGAAAACTTATGTTATAAAGCATCATAAAATATTCATTAAAAATCTTTTTTTGTAGTAACTTTAGGCAACATTTGAGACGTATTAAATGGAGTATTAATTTTCTCGAATATATGGTAAACGTTTAGAAAGGCAGAGGAAGATTTAAGTTTGAGGTCAATTCATTATTTAATTTATTTCTTTGAGATTATTTTATTTTTTAAATGTTATAAGAGGCCTTTGCAACATAATTTTATAATTTGTCTTCAATTAATTAAATCATTCATTTGTAAGAACATAAGAATTTTCATGAATTGCATATTTGTGTAACAGTAAAACAGTTAACAGTTATTTATCCCCATTTCCGATCTTAGTAAATTTGAAGTCGTAAATAAATTTTAAGTAATAAAAAAAATTAAAATTAAAATTAAATTAAATAAGAAAGATATAATGAATAAAATAAAATGAATTGAAAAATAAATTTATCCAAAAAATTTAAATTACATGTATCAGCATATTTTGATGTTTTTCATTCTTAGTATATCATTCTTAGTTCTTTATAGAGTATAAGCACTGTCTGTATCAACTGGTAGAAACAAAACTATATCAACTGGTCATCAACTACTGGTTCATTGCAACTATGAGTAACAATAAATTTGCGTTAACACATAGCACTTTAAAAATGCTTTATTTGTATGCGTGCATTTAACTTGCAGCAAGACACAGAAGTTGGATGAAACTTAATCAGAAAAAAAATACTACTTTCTAACAAACGCTTTTTACATACATAATCATACCTTGAAAAAATTAGCACATTTACTAATCATATGTTAAAAAATTTTATATGCTAACGTATTTTGAAAACTACCAGTTCGGCAAACTATTATTAAGCTGTTTTCACGCATAATATTCTGTGTTGCCCTCAAAATATTGAATTCAAAATAAAGTAAAAATATTATGTTTAAACCAGCACATTGATGAATATTTTTTTAACACAATGTCTATGCATGACAGAAGTATAAAAAGTGAGTATATCGCATTCACCTCCCTCTCCCTCACAGATTAAGGAAACAGGTTGATCCTCATTGTAAGGCCCGATTATCCCATGCAAATGCTGTCCAAATTCATCCATTATAATTGCTTCACTTGGAGGAACTAAAAGAACAAATGAACATACATGTGATAAAGTAATACTGTTTAGGAGGAAATTAATGGTTAATAATATTTTCCTTATTTAATAATTTTACTTTTCATGAAATTATAAAAAAATTTTGAATTTTTTTCTTTTTTTAACATTTTTGTGTTATATAGTATTTACATTTTATGTTAGACATAAGTGTTTTTTTAATTCTCTTTAAAATTTTTATATGATAATATTAGTTTTGAATGTAGTTGTTTCGCAATGCAAAGTTATTACAACTTTATTTATTTTGTAGAGAAGAATTTAATCAGTCTGTTTTCTTCTGGTCTGTTTTTGAAATATGGAGTTGAACACAACATGGCCATTTTTTTATGTTTCCCAAATTTAATTCAAATCTATCTCCCAGATCTTTGATATTTCACGTAAGGAAAACCTTCTCAAATTTGGTAATTTTGCAAATTAAGAGTCCAAACTTTCTGTCCTTCTTATTTTAAATTATACTCACACAATTATTAGTAAACCTAGTGTAAGGATTAGGTTAATTAAATTATTGAAAAAAAAGTTATAGACATCACTTTTCTATTGAAAAGCACGCAATACATCCAAGTACAGAATAATTTTCGAATTCCTTTAGGCGAAATTTTTTTTAAGAATTGTCCGACATAAAATGTTCTTACATTTTGCTTTAAAAATAAAAGAAGAATTTTTTTTCTCAGAATACTTCGACGTCTATAAAGAAACAAAATTCTGAAATTTATTATCAAAAAAAGGCAAAATGTGTGAAAGAAAAAAAAACAATTATTAGAAACTGAAAACTGCAACTATGTCGAAGAAGGTATGATTTTCAAAGAATAGTCATTAATCAAACCTCTTCCTCAATTTGTCCCCATGCGCCAATAAAAGTCGATGCGTCTTTACGAGGAAAAGAAATTTTGATAGAAAAGTATATTACACATAGAGTGTTCATTATATAATTAAAGATCGCTGTGTGAAAAATGAATTTTATAGTTTAAGACAACATTTTTATTTAATTATCGCCTGACCTGTATATTCAAAACTCGTAAAATTTGCTACATACAATTTATGTAATACATTTCCTTTAAAAAAAGAGCTCTTACTACAAATTTATCTTAGAACATACAAATTAGATTAAGAAACATTATTTTTAAGTCTTATGCTCTAAAACGTTCAAAGAATCATCTTCGCAAACTTGATACTTCGGAACCATGATATTTAATTGTGCTATAGAAACAACTTACACTCAAAATCTAATGACTTTAAAAATTAAACCCTGTAACTATATTATATTTAGTTAGTTCAGAAAATTCCATGATGAAATATGGTTTTCCATGACTTCGAAGCACTGGGAAAAGGGTTTATCGTCAATTAGAATGTGCAAGTATGGTGATGGTAGCAAAAATATTCTTTGGAGTATTATTAAAATTATTATATAAATTAGTAGCTATTGATTAGAAAGTGTTTAATTGGTAAGAGTATTATAGGCAAAGTAAGTTAAGGATACATATTTTTGCGATTATTTAAAAGATTTTAAACGGATAGAAACTACTTCAGGCTAAAAAGGACCATGCTATTAAAAATATGCAGTTTAAGTTTGGTATATACTTTTAAAATTTACTCGATAATCCAAATAATCAATATAATCTGTAAGATGGAATTAAATATAGTAATAATAAGACACTAAATTTTATTGAATGAAATGTTTAGTAAAATCAGATCTCTACTTCAAACACTTAAATTTGAAAAAAAAACTGCAAAATATATTTCAAAAATGTATGAAATCAGATAAATGAAGACACAATGAGATTTATATTCAGTTGAGATTAAGTAAGTAATTATGATTATTCCTTTTTTCTCTTATGGAACATTGTAACAGCGTTTAGCTCAAAAAGAACTTATTATATTCAAAATGTTATCGAAATATTAAAAAAAATTTATAATTTTCAAATTATGATATTTGAGTCAGTGTAAAACTAGCACATCCTGTGTTATGCGGTAACGATTATTTGCTGTTTTTTTATTATTTCGAGTAAAAGTAAAGTTTATAAATAGTCGTTAACACAATATAAAACACATTTCTTTGTTATTCGAAAAGATACCAAATGTTTAAATTCAAGAAAAAATAAAAATATGTACATATTTTGTGTTTAAATTAAAAAAGAGGTCACTTCTGAAAACTTTTATCACGACTTTTCAAAATGTATAAGAAGTCTTAGAAATATATTTAGAATAAAAAATTTTCAAAGAAAAGTGCTGGAAGTGAAAATCTTCTTCCACCAAAATTAAAATTCTGAATGCGTCAACTTTAGTGACTTTCTGTAGAAAATACATATGCACAGTATGAATCTTTTAATTTTTGGAGCATGGCTGAATGGTTAGAAATCTATAAGTTATGACAGATTGATTTTTCATCACTCTTATCAATTTTTGTCAACAGAATATAATCATAGATTATTTTTATAGAATTGTACATTCTGGCGCTTGTTAATGCTAATTTGACACTCGTGCTGTACCTACTTAAAGTACCCAACCGCTAAAGGTTCTCAATAATATTTATTATTTCTCGTGGCTGTATTTTTGAATCCGGTTTTTTTAAATCTTCTCTTTACTTTCACCATTAGTATTGAAATTTTTCATACAGTTGTATTGATATTCTACCTACTAAACTATAGAATCTACGGAATCCATGAGGTTAAAAAATTTACTCAGTAACCGCTGATTTACATGAAAGAAAATTAGATTTGCAGAGAATGGGAACATTTTAGCAATTTGCATTTGTTCAAAGCATGGTTACCATTATATTTTAATAAAAAAACATGTGATTGCTTTTTGTGCTCACATACTGTATTATTACCAACCTGCCAATTTGTCAAAATTTAATATGATACACCGATATTACCTGATCAAAAACTTCATTCATTTAAAAAATATATAAATTTAAATTAACTGTCAACATGTTCCAAGTGACGTGTAAGTCAAGTGACTCACGTCTGGCAAGTCGTGAAAATGGACTCCTATTTTTGAGCGCGTGAAACGCGTCAACTGTTATTTCCTATTTATATATTTCTGAAGTAAATGAGGTTTTTAATCAGGTAATATCTTACCGCTTCAGTTCCTTAGGATTATTAATTCAATAATAGACAAGTGCTTGTATTTTTCATGCCTAATAGAAGTTTTCTATAGGTGCAAAATTTGAACTTCGTTCTATTAAAAAAATCAGCAAGTAATAAATCAAGAAGAAAAAAGAATATATATNAAAGGGGAGCGAACATTGTAAGTAGAGCCCTTTCAGTATAATACATTTTAAGAATAGTATTCTTTTATTCTATGATAAAACTCACCTATCACAAATAGCATCAATTCCATAGTCTCCGTCCTTGCTCTTCTGTATTCTACTCTACACCGATAAACTCCTTCGTCTTCCTTCTGTATTCCATCAATTCTGAGGAAGGCGGGAACAGCTGACGAATTGAAATACGCCCTGGTTTCCATGTGGACAGCTGGAAAATGGGTGGCGGTTGGGAGAGGAAGATCCCTGGCGTCAACACTGTATAGAGGACTTCCTGATTCATCTCTGTGCCAAAGTACCAAAGAAACTTCGTCTTCCGTTGAGCTGACATTCAAGTCACATGGGAGTTCGGCTTTTTCTCCAGCTACGAAATAGTATGTGGGCAATCCTGGAATAAAATTTATAAATGTACAAAATGTTTGCAATAAAGCTAACACTTTTTTTCTTTAAATCGTTTTTACATTTTGGTTGAGAATTTATAGATAGTACAGCTTTACTTTCAAATATATCTCAAGTACTGGTTGAATTGAATGTGGAGTTTGATGACAAAGGAAAGAAAGTGAAAAATACTAAAAATTCTTTTTCTATGTAAAATTGAGTTAAAAAGATACGTACAGAGTTCTTACTTAATTTCTGGGGAAAAGAAATATCCTTGTTACTTTTGAAACAATTGTAAACAAAAAGGAAATAATAATAATACACTAACAACGGAATATATCAGTTAAAGAAAACACGAGAGTAATATTGGGATAAAAAACGGAAATAAAATCTTTAAAAATAAAAAAAATTAAAAGGCATATGAGGAATTTTTTTGCATCGTATCTCTTCCAAATCGTACCATCTGTAATTTGCAAGGAAAGTTACAGTAAAAAACGAAATCGTGGATAAATTACGAAGGAATGATAAAGAAGTTTGCGAATAAATTAAGATTACTTAAGCTCAGCAGTTTTACAAATTTTCAGGAGTTTCCTAAAACGCATATAGTTTTTTGTCATAAATTATACCTATACGGTTTAGAAGAAACGCATTATTTCCACCTGTTGAACATGTCATTATTATTTATTAAATATTTTTAAACTGAAATATACCCAAGCTATTGTAAAGTGGGAGAAATTTATTTCGGGTCTCACTTTCACCCAATACCAAATTTATTATCTCGTGAGAGTGGCTCATAATTAGGGGCTGCAGCAATTTGAATACTCTGCATTAACTGCAATGTTGATAAAATTATTTCGCTATTCTAAGACGCCAATCTTTAATCTAACTTTTTGGCAGCAGAAAATATCCATCTAGATGTGAATTTATGGGATAGGAACAAAGCTATTTCAATAAATTCAACGAGATTTAATGTCATTATGATGATATTTAGATTTATTATTTACAGAAAAAGAGAACTTTTAAAGAGCATCCAAGTAGTGAGCCTTCTGATTAGTTAATCAAACTGTCTAATAATTATTAGTAATGTAATTTGTTGTTCCACTATGAGCTACATTGATTAACTCTACATTTAATGCTACATAAAACGCTACATTTCTAAAACTGAAGAAGAGGTAAATTGGTCATAGATTTAGTAGCACGTAAGATCGCGTTCGATTTAAATTTTACAGGTTCGATTTATTTTCTTAGTACTTACTGCACAAGTAATGTTACCAAAAATAATTTATGTAGCTAAATGTCTTTATGAATGTAATTGTTAGTGATTTGAGCCTAATGAAACTTTAAATGTCAAAAAATATTTAGACAGCCTTCCTCAGTGCATAAACAATCTTGCAAAAACTTTATTATTCTTACATACCGTATGGTAATATAGTATTAGAATTATGATGTATCTGTATCTTTGAAAGACTTCAAATTAAATTCTTGAGTTTAAGTAATTCCAAGCATTTTCAAGATTTTCAAATCGGAGACTTAATTATTAGCCTCTTAACATTGAAGAAATAAATATTGAGCTTAAAAATTTAAATTAAATTCACGTTAAAAGGAGGCATCATAAGCCGAAATTCAAATATTATTCTAAATAATTTCTTTAAAAAATATTTTCAATGAAACTTAAAGTTACGGTATCACAATAATGCGGTATCAAAAATTAATGGGTCATCAATCAAAAACTACTATTTTAAATATATATTCCTGGAATTTTAATTTTTCTAAGTTTCAATTTTATTTTTCCAGGCATTTAACATAAAATTCAGTCCCCGAGTTTTTAAGTTAATTTTAAATTTCTTAAATTTTTCTTCTTTTTCTTCACGCAAATAACTCTGCACGTATAAGATTTTAACCCAGTTATAATTGATTATATTTAAAATATCAGCGACGCAGAGAAAAGCAAACATAATAAAATGATGAGTTTCATCCAACAAGTCTGATATTAATAAATTATAACTGCTGTATAATATAATTGTACTGTAATATAATTATAATATAATTATACTTTATTATAATTATAATATAATTATACTATAATGCTATAATAATATACAAAGTGATGGTTGAAAGCAAACAAATTACAAGCATTACGTTTCGGAAGAGTTTTCCCAACAAATAAAAACAATTTCATCCAAATGTGTTCTAATTGATAACGAGTAATTTAATTATAGAAAAGTTATATAATTATGGTATATTCGGTGCTTATTTTAAATTTTTGAGAAAGCTGTTGTTACTACAATCTTTATGTATATATGTATATTTAGTTTCCTGTATAGCTACATACAAAGATCCAGCAATAATTTTACTTTTTTAATTTTTACACTTCACTGAATACGTTTCATAAAGAAGGCGTAAAAATTTTTTAAAACTATAGCACATTTATATTACATACACATTTACATTTTGAAAGAAATACTCCTTAACTATTTATTTTATCATTTACATTTCATAAAATTATTAATAGTCTTGATGTTTCCAAATATTTCATGTGAATTCGCTTATTTTGAAAATGCAAAAGATTACAGTGAAATACAAAATCAATAGATTCTTTTTAAAATTTTTGTTTTTATTATAACATTAAGCTTTTACAAAATGCCTTTTTTCATTTAATTAGAATAAAAAATAGTAGAAGATGCAAGGCAATAGTACAAGATTTTTTTAAGGTATAGTTTATTTGATGACAATTGTCAAAGATCTTTATTTATAGAAATACACATTATCAAAGAAATAATTTTAATCTAGATGAATTTAACGTAGATGAAATTTCAAAAGTTTAAATTACATCGTATAAGAAAACTCGTGATTTTCTCGAAAAGCTTTTTCCGTGTTTGATTACAGAAAAATAGAGATGTTATTTACTTCGATGTATCTTTTTAAAGTTAAAGCCGAAGCCTTTTTGGTACATGTAAAATCGTTGAAAAGGATGTGTACGTTTCATTTATTTTTTAAAAGACTTTTCGCACAAACTCGAAAATAACTGAGTAAGTAAAGGGGAGCGAACATTGTTTTTGACTAAATTCATCTGCTTTTTTGATGTCGTTATATTAAAAAAAAACATTTCGAGCATCAAAAGAATATA